TACTTGTCGTCTCTCTCTCTCTCTCTCTCTCTCTCTCTCTCTCTCAGATCACTCGGTATCGCGGTAATGGGACGATGTCGAACGAAATGATACGACATTCGGCCTACAAGGCATTTCGTTGAATGACTTAAGTATACGGCGCGGCGAAAAAAAGAACGCGAACGAGAAGACGGGGAGAAATGGAGGCATGTAGCGGATACCCTCGGGGAATTACAAAAGTGTCGTGATTACGTTTCACGATTCCGTTCGATCAGCCAACTTGTCCCCAAAATCGATAATGCCAACACGAGGAGTACGGATTTAAAAGTCAATCGACGTGTCGGCGGCGGGACCAGTTCTTACATCGACCGCAGATAAGATTCACGAAGATTGAAAGCGGAAAGATGAAGAGGCGAAAGGGAGAACGGGAAGAAACAGCCTCCGATCGATGGTTCTCTTAGTGAATGGATCGGAATAAATCGGAGTTGCATGCGTAGTACGCGGCTGCGATCATCCAGCCGAGGGTCAACAAGATGGGAGATTAAAACTCGAAGAAGGAAGTTGTTTGAGCGTTGCTCCCTAAGACAGAGTCGCATAACTGATACATCGGTAGCCTCGCCGTGATTTATGGGCGATTTAGCATGTTCGGTTAGGGGGGTACTATGATGTTTCAAATGTCATACAGGTATCACGTGGAATTATTTTCGATGTCAAAATGTGTCGGGGATTTCTTCCGTATGTCTCATCTGTGAGTCAAAGCGGAGGTAAAATTAAGTGCCGATGTAAATTTCGGTTGACGCACGGTGCATCGTGGTGAATGCATGTCGTTTGGCTTTACGCGTCAAACTGTGGTCTATGGATGGTCGTTTGACAGCCAGCTAATCTTGACTTAGGTATCCAATTTATGTTGCTACCGCAAGGATTATGAACTTTCCCATTATGTTTATTCATCTCGCTTCTGTCTTTAGGATCACGTTCGTTCATCTTCGAAAGTTCGTCTGAGGTATACTCACAGTTTTTTATATGCCTTCATTTAACTTCATTGTTAGCTCTAGACTTTTTTATTTTGTCTTTTTTTGTTTTTTTTGTTTGCCTGAACGCTGATACATCGACGTGAAGTTCTATCGGTATCATTTTTCACGTGGTACCGAGGTAGGCGTGTGCACGCGGAGGCCGCGCATTAACTTTTCGGCGGATTAGTAGCTACGTGCTGGTTTTAAAGTAGCCGAATCGGGTGCTGTCGCGTACCGTCGATAAATCTGCTTTAATACCAACGAACGGCGGATGAAGTCAGCTTAATATCACGGATCCACCTCCGAGATTACAGTGAAAAGTTTATGAGCGCGCCCGGGGTTACAAGTGCTGGTTTACAGGTGAAACTCGGCGAATCTGGGATCGAGTCTGATCGATCCGAACGAGATTGATCACGATTTCCGCGAATGTGCCCGGCACGATAAATCCGTTTTATATATATATATATATGAGCGCCCACGATGCAATCCGGGGGCTATTACTTTCTTATGAGTATTTTACTTTACCCGGTCGATAATACGCCGTCGGCACCGGCACGTTTGCTCGGAAACAGTTTCGAATTCTCTATTATTGCGGTGAGACTTTGCACGTATTTATGCGACTGGACAACGATGCCCGGCAGGAACATACATTCGCGCGAGATAATTGGATCCTCTCCTCTCCCTCCCCCCCCCCCCGCTCCTTCCGATATGTTTCATTCGTACGGCTGTCTAATTGCAAATGGTTCTATTAAGCGCGAGCATTTTAGAACCATAGAGCAATGGTTACATTACACATGGCATAATTGATCTCAACTCCAGACTAATAATAGCTATTAATCGCGTGACTTATTAATTTTATCTTTAATTTTAAGCGACTGAATACATCATAAATCAAGACCCATTATTGCCCATGATAATGCACGCTGCCTATTCTAACACTGCATTTGAATATACATAAAAAATTTATTATGATAGGGAGACCGTGTGGTATTAATACGGATATGTGGGAGAGAATAATATTACCATTAAAAGTTGACTAAATTATTTTTAACTTTTTCCGAATTATCTTTCCACGTATTCATAATTTAGCAGAATCGCTGTCGAGCATAAAACATTTTGCGAACTTAAAGTAGAGCGAAATTGAATCTTGCGGGTTTAATTTGAATTATCGTTAAATTGTATTTTCTCTCATAAATCACGTAACGACGTTATAATTGGAGATTGAAAAGTTCAGAAAAAAATCGGTTATGAGGCTAATTGTGAAAGATTTTTTTGGAGATGAAACCTCGCGTAGCAGACGTGATTCGTGTGTCCAGAAATTATCGCTGAGTAGCCGCTAAGTATCGTCGAAAATAATTGCAGGAAACGAGAGACCTGATTATCCTGGTCTATATGAAAGTAAAAGATTGCAACGAGATGCACGAGATCTCGTAAACAAGGATCGCTAATAAAAATAAAATTTACTTTCACTTCAGCATTTAAATTGAAATTAATTGATTGAGAATACATGGCAATATATGGTCGATAATTCATTATAACGGACACGAACCTGGTCATCTCTCGCTCGTGATTTTCTTCCAACGTGGCGTCTTTCCCTCGGCGAAGTCAGGTTGAAGACCGTGCGAGATGGCCGTACAACGTATCAAGGGAGATCTAATTACAGAGCCCTCCGCTTCCTGCAGTAATTAATCGCTACGATCCGGAAGATTTATGTTGAACTGCCGCGCTCGCCTCCGCGTTTGCTCACCCGCTCGGCGAGAGCTGTGCTCGTCTTGGTTATAGAATCTTTTACATTAAAGTTTTAACGTGAAGTTTTTTATTAAGACAGTTTTGTCAAATCTTTGTGAAGCTTCAATTTCGCTCGCGAGCGAACGACAAGCTCTTACGTTACGAATTATGAGAAGAGCGCCGTAGCGAAAAAATTTCGAGAGGTCGGGAGAAGGAATTCCAGGGAGGACCGCTCATAAGTTATAATACCCTCGGTTATAAATACTTTCTTCTCCAAGGATCTTTCTCGCGAACTGAAAGATACGCGCGTATCCTCGAGAGGATACTTCACTTGGAAAGTGGCCGGCTTGATCTTCTTCGGTCGGCTAGTAACATGGTGTTAATATTAGCGACGTCGGAATCCGGCCTGACGGGCCGATCGTTTGAAATACGAGGCGGGAACAATGAATTTCCGGTTAACTTCGTACGAACCTTGGACGAGTGACAATGGCCTCATTGTCCTGTACGGACTGCATAAAGATGCGCTGCTTGCCAGACTTAAGAGTCAACCCTTTGCAGAATTTTGCATCTTTCGCGATGGACGAAATGCTACTGGAAAAAACAGTTTTGCTAAAGTATCTACAAATTTGATCAAGTATAGATCTGAAAATAATTGTGTTGCACTATTAAAATAATTATATAAAATGTTCAAATTGATGATTAAAGTACTAGCAAAAATTTTTAGTATTATCATCATATTACATTCTTACGTAATCATTTTGAAAATCTAACAAAATTATTATGTAATTTACATCTCAAATTTTAAAATACTTCAGCAAAATTGGTTTTTTCTTGTGTATTAATCTTACATTTATGTCTAATTATTCTCATAAAAAGAAATTTAAAATTTATTCTTAAATTTATTCTTGATAATTTTTAGTTAATTTATAAAAAGTAGCACCATTTAAAAGATAATATATTTTTTAAATGTAATTTATTATCTTTAAGTAAACTTTTCTTATAATCAATATATTAAAAAAAATTTCCTAATTTGAATGAATATCTCATGTCGATTTACGAATAATTTGTAAGAAAATTGTAAGAAAATTGAAAGATTTGATTGTGCCTGATTACACAATAGTAATGGTATCGTATATACAAGGATCGATGTTCTCACGCGAGTATATTGTTAACCGATCGTCGCGATCGGTCGAACAAAGCGCCGTTAACACACATACCCGTCACCTGCGAGTAAAAAGTGCACGTCCGTTCGTGGATGAACACGTTGCGCTATCAGTTCGTGTCATCGATCATTGCGTAACCGTCCATGCGCATTACGATATTCATCCGCATTGTTAAACGTGGTGATCTATCACGCATGCGTCGCCCGGTTGCTGACCGACCGGTCGGATTGGCGAACGATTGCCTCCCTCGGTGTCGTCGCGCTCGTTAATCTTCGCGATCCTGTCGTGAGGTGAGAATAAGCCACACGATCTCAGATAGAAGAAGGAGAGAAAGAGAGAGAGATAGATCGCAAGGATCACGATTAAGTATTAAGCGTGCCTGAACAATGAACGCGAATTTAACCACGTGATCGTAACGTCACGAGTGCACGAGGATCGTCGTAAAACGCGCTCGTAATTCGATCTAGCGTTTTAATCTGAATGTTAATAACGTTCTTCTCGCAAACATAAAATATATCATCGTGACGCTTCACCGCGCAAAATTCGCAGGGTAATGTCATTTCTAGCGTGGCTAAAATTACCAAATTTCCGAGCAATCTCGTAAACGTGGGTGGACTATTTTAACGTTACCGAAGTGTCGTTACGGCAGGGAAACGGACTGTAAACGAATCGTTTCCTGTTGCCTCGCTTCGTCCGCTTCGCTTCTGAAAACATGCGAACAAAACCAAAAGAGGAAACTTCATTTGTGTAAAAGACGCGGTGGGAGTTTAACCGACGTCTCTTCGCGCCGTTACTTCGCGCCTGCGTTTACGATGATGGCACTCTCGTTAACCCTTCTCATGTAAGACACGAAGAGAGAATGAAGCGTGCAGCAGCAGCGCGCCTCGTCCGCGATAATCAAAACATCCCGTAATAAACCGCGATAACGATCGAATATCTTAGAGATTCCCGGCTAACTGCGCTTCCAGCGCGCGTGCTGCATATCGCTTCATTCTTCAGCCGCTCCTCGGTTTTCTCGGTCGGCATCTCGCCGTCCGCCTCCAATTTCCGCGGCCGCGTGTTCCGCGGGCTGCGTAAAAAGACGCAGCCGCACGGAGAGCGGAGATTAAACGTCCGATAATACGTCGAGTCGTTTCATCCTTAAGCCGATCTTCAGGTACTGTTCACATGAACTTCGATGCTAGCCCTCCACGACGGACATCTCTCTACTTTGCGAACGTCAATTAGCAGTCATCTGTAATCGAGGAGTCGTGCATCTCTCGCTTCCTTTTTTCTCCTTTCATTCTAATTCTGAAAATTCACGGAGCGGCATTGAACATTGTGGTTAAAGTTGGCCGACGTTAATGAAACCGTCACGATGTGAACGATACTTCAGGACGAGCTCTCGCGCGTAACCGCCCTCGGGCCTTCTCGTGGCTCGAAGGGCCGAGAGAGAAAGACAGGAAGGTTACGTGGAAACTGGCACGGGTTAGGTAACTGGCAAAGTAGTTACCGCGCCCGTTGTCGCATTTTTCGTTGTCGACGAAGTCTCGACGTCCTGCGGCGAGAAGATCCTTAACGTCGCCCTCGGGGCACGTCGTACCGTAACTATCAGAACTCCGTCGGATTGTCTAGAAGACGAGTGCGCAAAGTGCGGAACGCGTGACGTGACGTCAGGCCGGGGTTCGCTTCCGATCCAGTGATCCGATTCGGTCGAGCCGGATGTGTCTACGAATTTTTACCCGACAAACAGCTTTTTTTCTCTCAATTTTTACAGAGAGACATTTTTTTCTTTAAGACCTCCCACTTCCGCGTTCATCATTTCGAAACAATTTATATTAGCGCGCGTATCGAAAAGTATGAACGTCAGTGCAAATTGCCTTTATCGCTCCGCCTAATAGTTTGTACGATAATAAAATGAATCTAAAAGCGCACGAAGCATGAAACGGGCCGCTCGCTAATTGCTCGATAATGAGTCCAGTTAATTCACTTCGAGATTCTATTCACGCTATTCGATGTTCCGGTCAGCCGTTCCACAAATTCCGGTGATATCGGGCTTTCGCTCGAATTGCTTTTAACGGCCCGTGGGGTCTGGTTTGCG